TGTCCAGTTGACCCCGGCGGATGGCCGGATATTGGAAGTACCATACAGAGAGAGAGGAGATGAGTCAGACGGCGATGAGATCGGGAGAGATCGACGGAGAGGCGAGAGAGGAGACGAGAGACTGAGAGAGAAGAGAGAGAGAGAGAGAGAGAGAGAGAGCGAGACGCGGCTCCGCAGCGAGAGAAGGGAGAGAGAGAGCGAGGGAGCGATTAGAAGCGAGGCGAGAGAGAGAGAGAGACGAGAGGAGAGAGGGAGAGAGAGGGAGGAGGCGAGAGGGAGAGGAGAGGGAGAGTGAGAGGGAGAGGGAGAGGGAGCGGGAGAGGGAGAGGGAGGAGAGGGAGGGAGAGGGAGAGGGAGAGGGGAGGGAGATGGGAGAGAGAGAGAGAGAGAGAGAGAGATATATATATATATATATATATATATATATATAATAAACCGAACATGGTACATCGACCTTAAATGACCCGCGCTTGTCCCAACATGGGCCCCAAAACACCGTAAACGGAATTGTGTCGAGGTGACCAAGGAACTTTAAATTTGCATAGATCATGTGACGTAAGTTTCAGGTGTAGAACATTCTAACTTCCACTCCCAAAAAACACACTCACGATCTCTGTCAATGGCAAAATAACAGCAGCGGATTTCTAGTCGTGCTCACCAAACGCTTTGCGGGGGTAGCCTGGTGATCAGCATTCTTGCCCATCAGGACTTGTTGCGAAAGCTATGACCATACCAATCGAGTGCAGTAATTACAGTCCAGCGTACAGTTAAGCCGACATTTACTGACCGCCGTGCTGCTATGACGCGTCCTCCCGCCCTGATTCGTCTCGTGGGTTGCCAACTGAGTTTCGCAGACAAGTCACGACGGCGTGATTTTTGGGCCGCGAAAGTACATGCCTGTCTCACATTGGACTAATGGTGCTGCGCTCCGCGAGCTCAATTATCCGACAATACATCACTGTCAACACGGTTTGCCAGCCAGTGATAAGCAAGTGATAGCAATTGTTTGGTTCCGCACGCACCCCTCTTTTTTGGAAATGGGTGTTAGCGACGGCCAGTCGTGATGACTCGCTGTCATGTATTTTTGCTAGAACACCCGAACGAGAAATCCCAAACGCTTGTCATTTGCCGGAAAACTTGCCGAATATGCAGCGCATTATGTTAATGAAAGCAGATTTGATTGTATTACGCACGCATTGAGAAAAGGCAGGACCTGGGATATTGATGGCCTGATTAATAAGGCAAGACCTGGGATAGTGATGACCTGATTAATAAAACAGGACCTGGGATAGTGATGGCCTGAATAATCAGCAAAGCTGTTTTTTGTGGTCAATGGTCGGTATGTTTATTTCTCGGCGTGATATGCGAAGGCCAAGCTGCAATTCACCTGGCACTCAGAGGTAGCTGCTCGTGATAAATGTTTTAGGTTATCAACTTAATGCATATTGATTCTTTATGGCATCCATTCAAGATCCTGACGAAATTCACACCACAAGCATAAAGAAGTTTTCCGGCCGCCTGCGCATAGATCTTAAGTCGCAGACAAATGAAATGTTCTTGAGGGGGCGTAGTTGCCCAATGGCTAGAGCGTCGGACCATCATGTGGGGGCCCGGGCTCGAAAACCGGATTTTTCATGGCCCCTTAGCACTAACATGGCCAACGCATTCGCTGACGCTTCATAAAAAGGTGTGACGATGCGTGCCTCGTTTGCTTTAAAAAAGAGCTATTTGCGATTTCACCTTTACCGTCTCTCCTCCGGTTCCTCTCGCCCCCTCTGCAAACGGTGGCTCTGCGGCCACACTTAGTGACGCTTGGGTGGTAAAGTGGAGCAAACCATAGAAACGCATCGGAAGTGCACAATGCCCCGTTAGCATGAGTCTTTATTCAACAGTGGCTTTGCTGCGTCGCCGTCGATTGTTTTGTCTGGGCGGTCGGCGTGCTGTCACGGTGGCCAGGTGCTCTGACTTCGCCGACCTGTAGCCAAAACAGTGGCCAGGCGATTTCGTTTTAGTCCAAGATTTAGTCCAAACATTTTGAATGGATGGATCTTGGGGTTCAGAGCCCACGCTAAGCAGTGCTTCTTTACGTGAGCTCTGGCTCCCACCATCCGATCGTGAAGTTGCATTTCAGTGGTGGGGCTTGGCAGCAAAAGTTTAACTTGCCGCGATGCTGGCAAGACCTGCCATGCCCTCCCACGTCACCTGACCGTAAGCGCAAAGCAATGCTCGTTTGTGTGAGCTCTGGCCCCGCCCATCCGGTCGTAAAATTGCAGGTCAACGGCAGAACTTGGTGGCAAAACTTTAACATGCCGCTATTCTCGGTACGGTCCGCCCTGCCCTCCCACGTCAACTAACCTTAAGAGGGGCCGCTGCCACCGGCCGTCGGCCATCCCAGCCAAGGGCAAACTGCGCGCGTCTGCAGCGATTCGAACCACCCCACCACGGAAGGGTGGATCGGAAGGCAGACGCTCTAACCAGATAAGCTTTCGGGACGGACATCTGTCGCACTGATAATCGCAAACCCTTCCAAGAAAAACCCAAAGTGCGAGTTGTTGATTATGAAGATGTTTGATATATGACAACTAGGAGTCGGGCGAATTACAATTACATGGATACGTTGTGTACGTGTCTTCAGACGGATGCATCCTTCTAGGACTTTTCACTTGAGCTTGACTCATTTTCGTTGTCACCATTCCTTTCCACACGCAAAGACTGAGGTGCATTCACTAACTGCAGGCAAACGATCAAAAAGCGAAGACACGCACATATAACAGCCGCCTATGGACCACGCGTGGCGATCATACAAGCTTGAGCACATCATGACACGCCTAGCCCACTGAGCACTGGATGTGATTGGCAGGCTGGCCGGGTGGCGGACACCAGGCCGGAAGGGGATTGGCCCCCCGCCGCCCCCCTCTGACCCGGCTCGGGGGGCCGCCAACGCGACGGCCGGGCCCAGCAGGTCACGGGCGCGCCGGCAGACGCTCTCCATCCCTCCTGGAGCCGTGGTCGGCATCATACCGAAGTTCGGTTGGCTGCTCTACGAGGGCTCCGACAACGAGGGTAAGCTGAACTCCGAGGGCTGCATCGCATGGGTGCAGAGCATGGGGGGGGGGGAGGGGGACAAGCCGTTCCACTGCGTCGAGACGTCACTTTGTTTCCCTGCGGTGTTGATGCTGAATAACAAATGGGCAACGCTTGCTGAAACTAAAACATTTGTAGTTCAATGAATTTTGTGAAACAGAGCAAAACAACTTCGGAGACGAGCCTATTGTTCTGCGTATACTGCAGTTATTGCAAGATTTCTGAGCGAATCTACAACTGGTACCGTTTTTGTATTGCGTGCACAATCATAAGAACCAGAACTGGCTCAGTTTTACTTGACACCGGTCACATTCAGGAGCGTGCTATACGGATATACAAACATTAAATAACGGGGTGATGAACTTGCACGGTCCTTTTTTTACCTGAACTGCCATGCTATGTCCAGCGAGGTTAAAACCGCTCTGTTTTGTCTATGTGGCTTGTCATTCTGTGTAAAACACAGCCAGTTTAGGCATCAGCGTGCCACCGTTTACTTACATTTAGTGGCGTGAGGTGGTGAAAGGTCATTTGATTCCGTACCACGACTTTGAAGTAGAATGCATTTCCATTTATTATCTCCATGTGGAAACTGTTTTGTGCTCTAGAAGGTTGTCTTGCTTTAGTTTAGGTGGTGTTAACATTACCTGGCGTGAGCTTGACCTCTCGTCGCTATTGACATATGGCAGTTATTCCGGTTCATAACAACTGTCTGGTGGCTAGGTATGGCGCGGCCTTAAGGATTCACCTGATGCGACTTCAGTCACGAATAATGTTCGTTGATGTGATAGAAATTGATGACCTTTGTTGTAAAACCTTAAAAAACGTAAAATCTAAAAAGAAAACTAGTTTTATGTCGAGTGCAGGGAGTGTTAGACTCAGCGTGCTTCTGCGTCATTACGGCTTTGGAACGGCTCGGGAGATAGTGATCTCTTTAATTGCGGTAGGGATTTCGCCAACCCCAATATGTTGGCAGGGGTTAAACAACCTAGCTTTAACTAGGCCAAACTAGTGTGAAGGGAGTACTATCAGTGCCCAATGCTCCAATGATTTCAGAGCTGGACTTTACGGTGGAAACTGAGTTCCTGTATCGCTTTCCGTATTCGTCGGAGACTCAGGTGGGAGAGAACAGGTACGACGAAAGCTACGACCATGGACTGGACACCGACGGATGGTTCGCCATCCACCGACAGAAGAGAATGATCCGAGACAAAGCCGTCGTATATAAAGGCCTCGCCAATGTGTTCAACAGGTGAGTGTAGCGTACGGAAAATTCGAGTTTCCAAAAATGCCTCGCTCTTCTCTGCGAGAGTACCTGTCGGTGTCATGCCAAACAAAAACAAAAAGCACTGACGCTGGTTTTCTATGACTGTAAGACTTTAAATTTCAAATTGCATTCTGGTATGGACTGTGTAATTAGGCTTGGAGGGAGTGTTCCGCAGTTGTTGGGGGTTTTGAACTGAACTAACCAATTGAAGATTATCCGGTGCGGTTCACAGTCCTGCCCTCCTTAAGACCTAAAACCCCCTAGCTTTTTTAGCTACACGCCTGACGTGCAGGCAATGTCGTACAGACTATTTCAAGGTTACCTTGGCATTCATGACGTCATGATGGCGTCATTCAAGTTCTGTCATTCCAGAAGTCATGCGGCGATCACGGCTAAGAGAAACATAATGCTCAAGTCGTTCATGCCTAGCGTTCACGAACAAGATTTCCAGATTAAACAGCCATCAACTGGCTCTCAATCAATGTTATGCAATTTACGATGACGTAATAAAACAATGACGTGTCGCGGAGCTTATATACGTAACAGAGAAATTGTGCTGTCTAGAGCAGTCTTTCCTGTATAAAAGTACACCAATAGCCATAAGTGAGCTTGTTGTATGGCATTTGATGCTTGCTTCAATATCTTCAAGTGTGAAACATTCCCTTTGATGATGAGATATCGTTTGCCGGGGTTCAACGTTCAGATCAGACGCACCGCAAATGGCCAGATTTGTGTGTTCAGCCAGAAAACATTGGCTTTTCGGAAGGAAATGTTCTCATCGGGTTTGGAATGAAAACTCGGACCGAGTAGCGAAGATGGGCAGCAATGTGAGTTTTAGTCAGCTGATTTGTTCGGAAAGTGAGGACAAACAGGCTTGTCTCATAGTCATCCTTCAATGTCGTCAGACGACGGACTTGACAGACTTTCTCAGCGCGAAGCCCATCAAGAACTCCGTCATCGGTCATTAACTGCATTTCAGGAGCGTAAACTACCTCTTTGGTGGTGTTCACTCGCGTGGTGGGGCGAGACGCTAACAGTTCCGCAGAATTCGGTACTTTTCAAGATGGCCTTTGTCTGAGGGCGGGCTTTTGTTTTGAAGGAAATGCTCCACATTTGTATGGGGTTTTCAGATGAAATAGCCATCTTGAAGATTATTCGGAGCAGTTCACAGCGCTGCCCTCCTTAAGACCAAAACCTTTCTAGTTTCCGAGCAATACGTCCGCGAAGATGTGTAGACCATTTCGTGCAAATTATTACAAGGTCACCTACGCATTCGTGGCTCCATAATAACGTCATTCAAATTATGTCATTCCATTAGCTATGCGGCAATCAAGGTCAAGTAAAACATAATTGTCGAGTCGTTCATATCTGGCGCTTATGAGCATGACTTCCAAATATGCCGGCCATCAATGGGATCTTAACCAATGCTGTACAAGCCATGAGAGATCGTAATATGACTTATTTTTTTGTGCTACACAACACAAGACGCTATGCCTTCTTCCTGTGTATTGCAGAAATAAGACTTGTAACAAATTACTTAGCAGTACCGCTATAACAACACGAAACAGGGTAAAAACACGAGCACCTAACGATATTGGGTTCATCTCACATCCAGCACCGCCGCGGGCCCCTCTCGGGAGATTAAAGAACTGCGAGTGAATGCTGTCCTACAAACGTTCCATGACGCAATCAAACAATGATGTATTGAGTAGATTATTTATGACATAGAGAAATTGTATCGTCTGGAGCATTCCTTCTTACTTTAAAGCGGACCACTAGTTGTAAGCGAGCTGACTGCATCGTAGCTGATGTTAGCTTCAATATCTTCAAATCTTAAACATTTCCTTCTATGCGCAGTTGTGCACATAAAGGATATGTTTGTGCAAAAATGCGCCTTGATAGTCGGCGAAAGATTCTTCTTTTGCTTTGAGAACCTGATTACTATGGTGTAAACCGATTAACCGTGAAAGCGTTAAGCCGTTTACCCGATGTCGTTTAGGCTGTTTTGGACAAAATATATATTTTGGGTAACTAATCTCCTCAAAACGTCATTGTTTGATGACGTCATGGAACGTTTCTATGACGTCAGACTGGCTGTCAGATTGGCGTGCCTGAATGGTCACTGTACCGGATGAACTGACTCACTTCTAATACTTCAACCTGCCGAGAGGTGGTGCGTATGCTGGCGCGTGTTTACGAGCTCCTTATAGTGTGACGTGTGCGCGTTTATGCCCTTTTTCGTGGTTGTTTTGCGTATTTGGTAGTAGTTCTGTATTGTTGGTTGACATGCATATACCACTATATGGCACTATTCTTAAGCTGCTCAATTCCCGGTCTTACCCTCGTAAATGCTCAAACTCCTGCATTATTCGCACAAAACGTGATGTGTGTTCAAAACTTGTATTCAATGCATCAAAATGACTGAACTCTGAATGGCGGCCGCTGATGCTAGGACTTAATCGATTATCATAGCTGTTCTTGACCTTACGCACTACATGGCCAAGGAGGAGACGGTATTTGGGTGATGTTTGTATGGTGTCATGAATGTCTGGGTGACCTTAAATAGTATGCAAAAGTTTGCGGGCGTCAGGTATGGAAAAAAGAGAGTTGAAAAAGAAAACACTGAAAAAGAGAGCTCACAGGCTTCGTATATCTTTTGACAATAAAAACCTTTAGGTTTTAACCCTTAAACATCTTTTAGGGCCTTTTAAGCCTTTTTCTTTTTCCTTGTTCCTTTTTCTGGTCTTTTAGATAAAATCTTGAGGTTTAAATGTTAAACCCTTCAAAAGACTTACAAAGCCTGTGAGCCACATTGAGAGATCTTCAAAGCGGCTGTCTCAGTTCAAAATCCCATACCAATTTGGATCACTCCCTTTACACTCGTGATGTTGAGCACTGTGTGTGCCTGCAAGCGGATTTGACCGCGGCTGACTGCATGTCACGCAGGCTCGGCCTGGAGGGCAAGGCCTGCCTGCTAAAGACTGTCTGCGAGATCGCCGGCAGTCCGCTCCTCTATGACGGCCTGATCGGCGAGCTGCTCAACATAGCACTGATGTGAGTAACGCTCCGGCTCCGCGCGCATGTCATGCTCCGGCTCCGCCTGCATGTCATGCTCCGGCTCCGCGAGCATGCCATGCTCCGGCTCCGCGCGCATGTCATGCTCCTGCTCCGCCCGCATGTCATGCTTCGACTCCGCCTGCACGCCATGGCGTCATGCCAGGGCACAGGGTCCGTACAGACTCAGTGCGAATGTCATGTCAGGAGGTTTAAGATCGGCCAGTCTCCCAGCTAGGACGGAGCCAGCCTCCCAGCTGGGACGGAGCCAGTCTTCCAGCTAGGACGGAGCCAGCCTCCCAGCTAGGACGGAGCCAGCCTCCCAGCTAGGACGGAGCCAGCCTCCCAGCTAGGACGGAGCCAGCCTCCCAGCTAGGACGGAGCCAGCCTCCCAGCTAGGACGGAGCCAGCCTCCCAGCTAGGACGGAGCCAGCCTCCCAGCTAGGACGGAGCCAGTCTCCCAGCTGGGACAGAGCCAGCCTCCCAGCTAGGACGGAGGCAGCCTCCCAGCTAGGACGGAGCCAGCCTCCCAGCTGGGACGGAGCCAGCCCCCCAGCTGGGACGGAGGGCCAGTGCCGATCGCTGGGCTGTGTGTCACCAAACTATTTCGATACCGCAATAGCTTTAGAGACAACCAGATAAGAACTCGTCTCGGTCCCCTGAGTGCCGGAAGTCGAATCGTTGCATAGCAACTGACAACGCCGCTTGTATGGTTACAAGTCAAGTCACGTGGTTGCGGGTGGCGTCACAGACCCAGTCACACGGTGGACTATATCGCTACGGACCCAGTCACAGGGTGGAGTATGTTGTCACGGACTCAGTCACAGACTGGACTGAATTGTTTCAGACTCAGTCACAAACTAAACTGTATTATAACAGAACCAGCCGCATGGTCGACTATATTATTACAGACTCAGTCATACGGTGGCTGCGTCGTTACAAAACCGGTCACACGGCAAACTGTATTTTACAGATTCAGTCACACGGTAGACTTATTGTTACAGACCAAGGCACAGACCGGATTGTACTGTTGCAGACCCAGTCACAGACCGCACTGCATCGTTACAGACCCAGTCACACGGTGGACGGGACGCCAGACGAGCTGGACGAGTATCGTCAGGCCGAGCAGCTGGGCTCGTCGGGCCGCGACTGCCGAGCCGCCTTCAGCCCTTGCCCCATCTCCCTCTTCCGGCAGATCGGCGCTTGACCACTCGTCGGCACCAGCCGGCTCGTCGTGTTACCCCTGTTGGGTGTTGTTACGCTGTTACGTGATGGTGTGGTATGGTGTTTGTGATGCGATGTGATGGCGTGATCCCATGGCAAGATGATTGGGCAATTTGTTACTGCCCGGGATTGTAGGATTCAATAAATATCACTGGTGTCTTGTGAGGAAAGTGCCGAGGGCGATTAGGTCTTAAATGTTTTGTAAAAGAGGCGGTGAAATTTATTGAATTTCCCGTCCAAGGGCAGCAAGATAACTTTCACACATGTTTAATTAACAAAATGGAATGAAGCTATCAGGGACAAGATACTTATAAGAGTGCAGGAAAACGTTGTCAAACGGCAGGGCAACACATCACACCACGCGCCTCAAAACCTGGATGCCAGGCCTCTGTTTGCTCGCAAAGGTGTGGTACAACGCACGTGCCATTTTAATGCCGGGTTTTCCCCACTTGCTCGCGTACTGTTGCATGCAGCGGAAGTATAGTGAAACATGATTAAACCAGGTCGATGGGATCAGATGATTACGCACTTGATCGACGCCGAGTCCGTGTCAGAGTGCTGTTACCTGACAGTGTCATGATGCGATGCCGGATGAGTGATGCTGCCGCAGCCCATGCCGGCCACTCTGACGCCATGTTGAATACCGAGCAGGAGGGGAGTTCCAGGACTGATGTTGCAAATGCCACGTTGCATGAGGACTGAGTTCCAGGAAATGATGAAACGGTCCTTGGTATATGGAATCGTCGTAGCCGTTTATTTTTATTTGTGTATTCATGACTGCTGTTACTGTTATTCTATAAATATATTAACACTTAACGGAAACTTTCTAATAGGCGCATTGTTGCCTAACTGCGATATCCCCTCTGTTTTGGCTCTGATTTGGTTCATGTCCTTTGAACCATCGGCGCCAGATGAGTTAATAACTGCATAGTCAATAACTGCACTGTCAACACTCCATAACCGTCTTCGGCGCCATGCGCGTGCTTGAGGCAGATTTCGTTAAGCTTTCCTACATTGGCTCATTCTTGCGTGTTTGATTCGCTTGATAACGGTAATTGGTAATTTGAGATGTATACTCGTGTTCATGGAATGCAAAAATGTGCATTTCTGTCCTTTCCATTGATATGCAGTGCAATAATGTGCAACGCATATTTATTGCGGGTGCCGGCAGCCTCGCGGCCTAATGTGCGGAAATAAACTGTCGAATATCTCGGCAACGTAGATATGAAATTAGACTTCAAGAGAGGTAATATTCTCAAAAAGAGACGGTAAACGTGTTTTGCCTCCAGTGATAGTATCCACGTGGTTAGAATGCTTTAAAACACATAACGGAGTTCAGTAACGTGCCAATAACCTAGCTGAAAGACTTAGCTAGACTTGCACTAATCACAGTGGTTAGTTCAGCTGTGCTTAATCAAAAAGCCAGCTGCGGCCATTCTGATTTTTGACCGAAGTAACGAAAGAAAATGTCTTATAATTATCTGTGGCTTTTTATTTGCGATAGCTAGATAAGTACCCACACGTTAATATCAACTTTTCGTTTTTTTTTCTTCTCAGGATCGCGTACGATTCCCTCTTAATTGGATGCATTTTTGGGACCAGGGTACAGCCGCTGAAAGGTGGCTGTACCTTGGTCCCACCACCACATCATGCAAATCCAGTTCAAAGACGGAACTTTGGGGCGAGAGGTTGACGTGCCGTAATGCTCGGCACTGTCTGCTCTACCCCCTAACGTCACCCAACCCCTACCTCAGCCGCTGCCACTGGCCATAGAGCATCTCAGTTGGTGAGAGCGGCCGCAGCGGTGGCTAGAGTCCACCCTGCCACCGCCTGGTAGCGTGGCTACACCCACCAGTGTCCTACCGAGCACTTGAGCTATTGTGACGGCAAGAGCTCCTTTTAAAACGCACCTGAAAATTGGAAACACAAAAGCCTCGCTTTCTAACGTCGCAGCATTTGCAGTGACACGTGGCGGTCTATTGTATCGGATCGAGACGGAAAGCGGTGTCATAATCCCAATTTGCACATCAGGCGCTGTCATCGGAAGAGGCTGTTCCACTCCCTGCCCGCGTATCATGCACGCTGGCCTGGCGTTTCCCGAAATAACGCTGCGCCGTTCCGAGCTGCTAGCCGCAGCTGAGCCTCAGCTATAAACAGTCATTCACGCACCTAGACTATCGTCATCTGTACCGTCAGCCTATGTTTTTTTTTAGGACGAAATTCGCTGTCCCAGTTGTCATGTCACGCTGCAATAGCCTCGCAGACGCTTTCCGTGAAAAAGAGCTTGGTCCATGCTAAGTCTGACGCACGGCGGGTCTTGGGCGCACTTGCCCCTTCATCTGTTCCGGGGATTCATTTGTTCCGTGCCTGGTGCTGCTGCTCCGCCGCACTAGGCACGGATGACGTCACACTCCATCCGTCAATGCTGGCACCCATGACCTCACGCCCATTAGGCCGCACCAGGTGCCGACGACGTCACGCTTCCTCCGCCACTCCAGGCACCCATGACCTCACGCCCATTAGGCCGCACCAGGTGCCGATGACGTCACGTTCGTTCCGCCACTCCAGGCACCCATGACCTCACGCTCATTAGGCCGCACCAGGTGCTGATGACGTCACGTTCCCCCCGCCACTCCAGGCACCCATGACCTCACGCTCATTAGGCCGCACCACGTGCCGATGACATCACGCACCCTCCGCCGCTCCAGGCACCCATGACCTCACGCCCATTAGGCCGCACCAGGTGCTGATGACTTCACGCTCCCTCCGCCGCTCCAGGCACAAATAGCATGCTCCGTCAGTCGACGGCCGTCCTTAGCCCCAAGGGTACACAGGGCCTTGTCCCCATGGTACGGCCGACAGCTGGCCCGCATACGGCCCGAGCCCGCAACAATCCAATGCGCCTGGACGTGGCTTCTCCGGGTCATGTATAAACTAGCACGCGTTCGCCAGGCCATGTCAGCTGACGCTCACCCTCGCTGGTTGACTCGGCCTTCGCAGCGCCGTAGCGCCGGCGATTGGACTCGCTGCCGCCGGCCCTGAGCCAGGACGAGCTGGCTCGGTGTCTGGCGTCACCACCCGCGGAGCCAGGACGAGCTGGCCCGGTGTCTGGCGTACCAGCCGCGGAGCCAGGACGAGCTGGCCCAGTGTCTGGCGTCACCAGCCGCGGAGCCAGGACGAGCTGGCCCGGTGTCTGGCGTCACCACCCGCGGAGCCAGGACGAGCTGGCCCGGTGTCTGGTGTAACAGCCGAGGAGCCAGGACGAGCTGGCTCGGTGTCTGGCGTGCCAGCCGAGGGGCCAGGACGAGCTGGCTCGGTGTCTGGCGTACCAGCCGCGGAGCCAGGACGAGCTGGCCCGGTGTCTGGCGTACCAGCCGAGGAGCCAGGACGAGCTGGTTCGGTGTCTGGCGTCACCAGCCGCGGAGCCAGGACGAGCTGGTTCGGTGTCTGGCGTACCAGTCGCGGAGTCAGGAGGAGCTGGCCCGGTGTCTGGCGTACCAGCCGCGGAGCCAGGACGAGCTGGCCCGGTGTCTGGCGTACCAGCCGCGGAGCCAGGAGGAGCTGGCTCGGTATCTGGCGTGCCAGCCGCGGAGCCAGGACGAGCTGGCTCGGTGTCTGGCGTACCAGCCGCGGAGCCAGGAGGAGCTGGCCCGGTGTCTGGCGTCACCAGCAGCGGAGCCAGGACGAGCTAGCCCGCCATCTGGTGTCACCAGCCGCGGAGCCAGGACGAGCTGGCCCGGTGTCTGGCGTACCAGCCGCGAAGCCAGGATGAGCTGGCTCGGTGTCTGGCGTCACCAGCCGCGGAGCCAGCACGAGCTGGCCCGCCATCTGGTGTCACCAGCCGCGGAGCCAGGACGAGCTGGCCCGCCGTCTGGTGTCACCAGCCGCGGCTGTCAGTGATAGTGAGCCGGCCCGGGGGAGCGTCCGGCACCCGGGCCAGACCCGGCACGCTCACCGGCTAACTACAGGGTCTGTCGGACTGGTGTCCGGCTCGCACGGTGCCTGACCTGGCACGCGGCCGGCTGCTGCTGATATAAGCTCCAGCAGCCGAGCAAGGCGCCCAGTCCGCCTCGCACCCGTCGCTGAGGTAACGCCCTGCGGCGATCACGTGACTTCGGCTCTCAGCACCCGGAGCGGTCGGCGTGCGGTAACGCTTACCCGTCGGCATTGTGTGACCAGCGGGTCGGTACGCAGGCCAGCGCTGACGACTGGCGGCAATGCGGTGAGCTCACATGCCGTGCCACTCTAACTCAGGCACTGTCAACGACCAACGCTTCGCCATGGCGCCAATTTCTGATACTTTAAAAACCGATTTCTTCAAATCTTCGTTATGCTCTCTAAAGAAAGCATAACGGAGATTTGAATAGATCGCACAGAAGTTAAAAGTTGCCACAACAGACCCTACCACCATAATGGAACTGGTCCGGCCTAAATTTTTAGAATCAATCAGAGTTTCTGTATTGACCAAACGCCTAGGCAATTGAAAACACTGTACAGATGCCTATGGCAGATGGGCCGGAACATAGCTTCATCCAGCCCACCATCGGTACCGAAGCGGGCCTGAGACGAGACCGACGCGGCATTCAGCCGTAATGACGCGACCTCAAGTCGGGTCAGTCGCATTATGCGTGCACCAGTGCTCAGCTGTGATGGCAAGCCATGCAATAAGCATAACGGCTGTCGATTTCCTTGTGCTGCGATATGTAAGACAAGTGATTATTTGCAGTCCGATTATACAAGATTTTTGCTCTAAAAAAATGTTTGCACGACCCACTATGATTATGTGGGTCGACCCACTATGCTAATAATTAAGAGCCCACAGAGCATAAGAGCCATGTCAGAGCTTGTACCACTTAGTCACATGCCACTGACATGGCGTGAGTAACATGCGTGACATGGTTTTATGCACAGGCCCCCAGTGGCGGACCATTTAAAAGTGACACATTGTTGACCGGAAGAAAGTGATATCATGCAAGTGTTCCATTATGCAACGACACACTGCATTAGTAGCACTTTCCACTGCAGTTGGCGTGTTGCGCACGCCACCAGAACCCGTAAAATATTGTACTATCAGAGTAATAGGTCATAATAGTCAACCCCAAGCTGACGTTTCGCGGCATGCCGCGGCAAATATCACCTGTTGACTTCGATGACCCCCGCTGATGCTGTCAAATGCCTTAGTTGTATATTTATACGCTCACAATCACAGCCCAAACATGATCAAAATCACGACGCAAACATGATCAGATGGGTGCGCCGTCACGGTGGCACATGGGCGTCACTGCCCTGGGTAGCAGCACTTTGGGGTGTGGTGAAATCGGCGGCTCGCCTGTCCGGGTAAGTGCGCTGGCAAGGGGTGGGCTACAGGAGATACTCGACTTGAAAACATATCCTAATGCCGTACGATTCCTCGTCATTTCATCGCAAACAAATACATACAAGCATAAAGGACATACACGTTACTCTACCAGGCTCGGTCGCAACACGACAGCCTGACGTTCCGGGTCATCGTGCAGCCTTGACTTAGCACCCACGTCATCCTTCGCAGACGCCTTCTTTCGAATCTGATGGCGATGCTGTTAGGTGGCTTGGCCAAGGCCGGCAGCCTGGACGAGGCCGGCATTCTGGCCGGTGCCGGTGAACTTCCCGGGGCCAGCGACCTCGCCAGTGACCTGACCGGTGACCTGGCCGTGGGGGCAGCGCGGCGGACGGTTGGCGCCTCCGGCCGTTCGCTGCCCGAGGGC